AATACATCGTATTAAAGAGGCCCCTACCTCTTGCTTCTCAAGCGGTTTGTAACACCTGAAGTTTTTAAGGCAGGCTGTGTTGCAACACAAAAACCATTACATGAGAAACACACCTAGCACGCATTTTCAGCCTAAGAAAAGTGCCATTCATTCTATCCAACGATCAGATATTTCCAGATCAGTAGAGTGCATGACATCATAACAGAGAACACAGTCTCTACTGTATCACTCATAAATACCTTGAGACATGGCCTCCTAGGTGGTCCTTGTCTCAACATTTTAAAATAACTGATCACCAGTTTTTCATTTTTTTTTGCAGAACAAGGACTCAATACGTTCAAAACAGAAGAGCAAGTTTGAACTTTCTCCCACAAACAGGATTTCTCGTTCACCAATTTTCTCATCAAGCTCAAAACTGCACATAGCTCCAGTCCTCCAAACCCCAAACAGCTGTTACACTGCAGCACCCTGGGGCTGTGATGTTAAGTGAACCCACGGGTTGTTCGGCAGAAACGCAGGCATGATACTCCGCACAAACCACAGCATGCGCGAACACAACGCAGACACAGCTGGGTTCTCTGCACATCTGGACAACGTGAGACACCGATCATCTCAAAAAGAGCTGAAGGCCCGTCATTCGCACCTGCACGGCTTTTAGGTTCTTGCCTGGAAACATTCACACAAAAAAAAAAACTCTAAATCTACACAGAGAGCACATTGTATAGAGAAGGCACCCAACTTTCCCAGGAGGAGGTGTGCGGAAACAGATGTTGCATTGTTTCCCTTTTCAAGGTGCCTTCAAGAAAGGCAGCCTTTCAAGGGTGTAGAGAAGAAACAGGGGCACAAACGCCTGACTGACATCACATAAACAATTACTGCTGGTTACCATCCAGTACCGACAGTAATGAAAAGCTTCTTTGTTGTAATACTATGTTGTGGTTTCAGGTACTGAAACTCCTTAGATACTTGATCAGCAAGTTCTCATTTAAACATCTGCAGGCAGACTGCATGGAACGCCTAAAGGAAATTTTCCCAAGAGCGTCAGTAACCTTAAATCATTTAAGAACTGACATTTAACAGGGGAGCTGTTCGACACAATGCCCTTCCAATACGCTGCATTTTATACATTTATTACAGTCAAGCTATCTATTCCAGCCGTGCAATTAACATAAAATTCAAAACATTGGCGTTTAATCAAAGGTACTTTACAAGCGCACACTGCGTATCCACTATTATTCAGTTAAAAAAAGATTTTATCAGCTGGCTGGGCCGATGCCACGCCATTCGTTTTGGTTAATGAATGAAGGTGTAAACGCCCATGCCCTACAAAGGGATTAAAAGTAATCTCGATCAGTAATCAAAGTCCAGCTCACAATTTGCTCACTCCTGGGGAAATGCATTTAAGGGAAACAACAGACAAAGGTTTTCTGCAGTGACTGGTTAACCTGGACTGGTTACAGCTGATCGACAGGGTTTATAACCCAAATGTGGCCCCCAAAAAACTTTTAAAACTCTCGTGTGGGGCTCTAAAGTCATCCATCTTTGGGCACTTTCATGAATATTTATGGGTTGCTTTGTTTAAATCCCAGTGAAAAATAAAACCCTAAGGATGATTACTCTCTGTCCACAACAGGAGGCTGAAGGACACTGAAGTCCATTATTAATACCGAGAAGAAACTGGTGATTTGCGGTTTGAATCTACGGTACATGTCTGAGCATAGTCTGCACATTTCCCTGACTACATACTGAAGAATCCAGGTGGCTGACCAACTATGTGACTTACAGAAAGTGGGAAAATCCCCTGGTGTGAAGTATGGTGCTGAAAACTGGCTGAACATTTGCAATTCAAACAGATGTTTGACGAGCACTCATTTTACAGCAATGCAGAAAGAACATCTGATGCTCTAAAGAATGTTTAATTTTCTAAAAACCAGGGTGATACACTCCCAGAATTTAGCACCTTCAGCTCAGCTAGATGGATGACACTGTGGATTATACAGGTGTTAATAGGAGGTTGTGCAAACAGGACAGCAGCTTCGTGAAACACGGGACAAAAAGTGAATTGCACCCGAGCAAAGACACTGGCCACTAAAGGCCATGACTGGCAATTCACTGAAGTCTATTTGAACTGGCCAGCCTTTGGAAATATATGAAGTCAGAATCTACTCTGCACTTCAATGTGTGAAGTGATTCTAAGGTGAAGAGCCAGGAGCCCCTCTGTAAAACAATCTACATAAACCTGCACACTGCAGCTGTGCAAGTCAGGTGTTTATCTAACCGAATGTACCCATTTAACTGCTGAACGACATTCATTATTCACAATAAATTACAGTTTACAAGAACACAGTGCAATTACTTACAAAGACAAGGGTGGATAGAGCTATTTTTTGCTCCGTTCCTCTCAATTCAATAATAAAAGGTGCAACTGCCTTTGAACTGAACTTGTTCAAACAGCAATACATTTACGTGGCAAAATCTAACAGCGACCGCAAGCAAAACGAACAAGAAACTCCTAATTTGCACTCGGAGAAATGGAGTAATCTGACAAGATCTTATTCCACACAGGCCTGTCTCAGAATCAATTAGGTCTTTTAGGGTTTGCCCGATACTTTTAAAGCATAATGTAACAGGTGCAATAGAATGTTTTTTAAACAAATGCAATAATACTTCCGCTTCAGCATTTTATATATACAGGGAAAGCTTTCAAAATGTATCAAATGAATAACTTGACAAGATTTTTTTAAATGGCTCAATAAAGTTACCTGTGTCTTCAGTTACACTAAAAATCATTACAAATACTGTATTTTTCCACGAGAGAAAAAGCTTATGCAAAGAAGAATTCATTGTAACACCTTCTCAGCATGGATCCATGAACTAAGAGACAGATGGGTTGTCATAGCAATTGGGTAATTGAGAAAAAAAGTGTCCGCTAGCTAGGATTGCAAGCAATCTGGTACCATACTGTAAAAGGCAAGAGTCACAAATTCAGAAAGACATTAATCTCACGGGCTCCAACGTACTCTGTGGAATGGGGGAAGGTCAAGTCTTTTTTTAAAGATGGCACAGGTAACAGGAGACTTAGCCTGACCCCAAAAGAAATACAGAGCTCATTCATGCCAAAGTGAAATACCCACGGGGTCAAGCATCTGTTCGACGGTCACGAAGTTTTCAACAACGGCTGGCTTAAATTGTCCAGAATGTATTGCACTTTTTGATCAAGTGGCCTCTCAAAGCGCATCATCTTCATATCAAAAAGCTCCTGACTATTCTATTGCACCCTTTCTATTATTGTACAATTTTCATCAACTTTATTGCCTGTTTATTTACATCATCCTGTCTTGTACTTTTGAAGTGTTTTCTTATGTGCCAGTGACGAGCAACGATACACGTCCTCTGAGATAAGGGTGTGACCTAATTAATACACGCTGCTAAAATCACATCGTTATGCTTGCCTACATCTGCTACACAGGTTTATAGGCAATGCTTGGTACAAAAAGGAACATTTTAAATGGGTTTTTGTCTTAAGAAGGGTACAGTGAATTACCACTGAGAGCACCAGTCCTCAGGTCAGGCACAGATGAACTAGGCAATAGCTGTCAATAAAGAATAAAGGTCAGTACTACCCAAGGGCTGCTTGGGCTATTCTTTGTCGTGCAATAAAAGGAGACACTGAGCAAAACTCTGCTCCTCCATCAGCTGACTCCAGGCTCTTACAGACACGATATCCGAATAGAAACAACCAGAATGTTATCACACTTGAGGTTTCCGCAGTAATGCTCTCAGATTGAAATCTCATTTCAAACCTTTCAAGCCAAACCCATCTAACTCAAGCAATGCCATCAGTGCCCCGCAGGTCACCACCATAACCCGGTTAGTGGCATCTTCCTAGAACTATCCCAGAAAAACAATATGTTCACAACAAGGTACGATCGTTAGGATGATAATTTCCGTCTTCTCCTCTCGTGAACCAATGAGTGTGCTATTCAGATTCGTTTCTGGCCGTTTTTCCCAAGATCACCCCAACAAAAACACCTCCTGTTGTGCGTGGCCATTCCTAACAGAGAGGCAGCCGGCATTCAAACACAGCCTAGCGGAGAGCGACAGCTTGGAAACTCTGGCAGACATGGTCGAGCCCTCACGGACTTCAAAAGGGCCTTAACTGAGCTTCAAAAGGAAGGACTTATCAAGATCTCGCATCAGTCACTGAACTGCAGCCCCTATTGCCGCTGATGAAAAGCGACTGCAGCCCCTATTGCCACTGACGAAAAGCGAGCCAGGGCAGAGCGCGTGATCACTTTGCGTTTTCTCTCTGCTGGGGTCACCTGAGCTCAGCTGTAAATGCACGAGGCTTTTGAATGGCCCCCCCTTTTCTAGTTTTGGAGAATTAGCTCTGGACCAACCAAACAGACAGCTGGTCACTGCACTACGCTGACAGACTCATCCCTACTGAAAACAATCCAGAAACCTTGCGCACAGCTGTTTGTCTAAGTGAAGTTAAGTAACTAAATGTCTCCTTTAGGTCTCATCGTTTTGCAACGCACACAATTGGACTGTTAAACCCATTCCGAGGCAGACTGCGGAACAGACTGGCCTGAACTGGGGCCACGTTCAAAGACAATGGGACAATGGGAGTCTCCAGCCTGTGAAAACAAGGACAGAATCAAGTGCTGACAATCTTAATAATGCCCTGGGTGATCAGACTTAAGAACTGTTCCTGGAATCACATCCCTTCCGCCGAAAGGTTCTGCATCGTTCACCAGATAAAGAAAAATGAAATGTAATAGTTCCACAGAATAGATTTCCCCCGTGGGCTGGTTTCGAGTTGACACAGCTCAAAAAGATTCAGATGCTGTACCTCTAGAACATCTTTCCCATGGCGTTCCCTTTGTTATCTTGCAGCCTGTCGGTAAACAGGTCTCGCAAGACAGTGATAAACAGGTACGGCCGTGGCTACCATCCAGCACGCTACACTGTGACGCATTGTTCAGGAGCACACAGCCCCGGGCTCCTGCTATATTTATATAAAGTTTAATCCCACGCAGATGAGAGCGTGGGAACGAGCTCTGCACATACGCTGTGCTTTTAATCTCGCCTCCTCCGACAGTTTCTTTTGGAAGCCAAAGAGGAGAAACAAAAGCCTAAGAGGAGCAGGACCGAATGTAAAATGTCACCCTGAACAGATAAGAAGAGACTAAATTTTTGTGTGTGATGTACATGGGTTAACGTGTCTTATAAAAGGATTGTCGTGTAAAGACGTGTATTTAAAATGGCATTATTGGTTTTCTACAATTAAAAATGTAAAAAGTCACCCTCCTACCTGCAGTCTGCTATCTTCAATATACAGACCTTGCAAAAACTACAAGCTAACAAACTGAGATTTTCTGAATTCGTTCAGTAATAAGTATTCACCATTCCCTAACAGTTGAAACTTGACAGTTTCATTGAAACTTCAATTGCAGTCAAGCAGGGAGCGAGCTAGAGGGCAGAATGGCCATCAGGACACACGTTTCCCCATGCAGGACGATTGCAATAAAAACAAGAAGGCAAGACGACCACAGGGGAGAGCCAAGAGGAGCCAGCTGGACTCCAGCGGACCTACATTTGCTACACAGGTTTATAGGCAATGCTTGGTACAAAAAGGAACATTTTAAATGGGTTTTTGTCTTAAGAAGGGAACAGTGAATTACCACTGAGAGCACCAGTCCTCAGGTCAGGCACAGATGAACTAGGCAATAGCTGTCAATAAAGAATAAAGGTCAGTACTACCCAAGGGCTGCTTGGGCTATTCTTTGTCGTGCAATAAAAGGAGACACTGAGCAAAACTCTGCTCCTCCATCAGCTGACTCCAGGCTCTTACAGGAAAGGTGGTCAAGGCAGCAAACAATGTGCGTGAAGAATAAACACTGTTCGTGTGCACTATAAAACGAAACATTCTTTGTCGCCCTCACCGGCCTGAGGTCCAAGATGGACAGCGGGGGGTTGGCGATGGTCTTGTGCTTCTTGAACCTCTTCTGCTGCTGCTCCAGCCTCTCCTTCTCCCTCTCCACGGCCTGGGCGGACTCCCGCAGCCTCTCCAGGTCCTGCTGGTACTTGAGCCGCTGCTGCTCCAGCTCCTCGCGCTGCTGCTCCAGCTGGGCCTGCAGCCGCCGGCCCTCCTCCTCGCGCCGCCGCAGCCGGGCCTCCTCCTCCTCGGCCCGCAGCCGCTGGCTCTCCCTCTCCCTCTCCCAGCGCCGCTGCTCCTGGCGCAGCTGGCCCTGCAGCTTCTGGAAGTGGGCCAGCTCCTCCCGCTGCTTCTCGAAGTTGCGCTGCTTCTCCTGCTCCAGCAGCACGTTGCCCCGGGCCCGGCCCGGCCTGTCCCGCTCCGGCAGGCTGGCCCGCTGCAGCTCGATGCAGCTGTCCTGGTGGGAGACGATGGCCTGGCGCCGCCGGGCGGGGGAGATCAGAGATCGGACAGAATCCCGCCGGCGTCTGCAAACTGGGCTGCGATTTTTCAGGACTCACCGGGAACTTGCTATGTGCTCCCAGTGTGTTCCATAATTTTTAGAAAAATAGTCAAGAGCCCCAAAACAATTTCTATTTACCCAAATGACACAATATATTTTCGTTATACTTTAAGGCTTCTGAATGCAAAAGAGCAGAATTTGTAATACTCTTCGCAACAGAGGTGCAGGACTGAATGGAAAATGACCCCCCTGCTCTTTCAATATACAGACATTGCAAACAAGAGATAGTAACAAATTGCAATATTTTTAATTGGCATTCAGTAATACGTATTTACTGTCTACTAACAGCACAGTTACTGTGCTGTAACTTTACTTTACTTCAATTGCAGTCAAGCAGGCAGTGATCTAGAGGGCAGAATGGCAATCAGGACACAAGTTTCTCATGCAAGATGATTGCAATAAAAATAAGAAGGCAAAAATGACCACAGACTCTTTTTCTTTATACTTTGAGGCATCTGAATGCAAAAGCAGAATTTGAAATACTCTTAGCAACAGTTTCTAGCATTAACTGGAAGTTCTAAATAAAACCCCTCAGGTCTCCACCCAGTAAGCAGGCTAAAATTGACACTAACTCGATAAATTTCTTTTAAAAACAGTTCTGCCCAAATGGAGCTTAATATTCATACACATTTTACCTGGAGACTGTAAAGTCGCTGTGAAAGCATCAACACTCGATCGAAAAACTATAAAAAAAGAAAAGAATATGTTTAATAGGGCAAGTATCCCTTAAACATTTTGAAAAGTTAGGCTCATTGGGAAATTCAAAGTACAGGATGACTTATTTTGTTGTCCAATAAACTGCCCACATCATACAGGTAACATTTCAGTTCCAGTATTTCAGTTACCTTTTTAATTTACAGACTTTACAGACCTTACAAAACAATTAGAATAATTTTAGCTCTGCTCAGATTTCTAAGGTAAAGGAATGAGGAAGCCAGGATTTCACAGCTGAAAGGAATGAAGTATTCTGAACTGCATTTCTGACATTCTTCTAAATGAGGCTCTGAAAACCAGAGATTTGATTCCCACACATTCATCGCATAACTTCCTAACTTGAAATGAATGTGAAGAAACTTCGACAAGATCTCTTCCTTGTGTCAACTTTCAAAAAGGAGAAACCAGAACAGAGGGATACAATTCACAGTTTTGTTAGTTTGGGGTTTTACAAAAGACTGGCTACTCATTCCACAACTATTTGCTGTCTATGCACGGCTCCATAACGTATTCGATACCTAAGCACACGCCAAGATTATGCTGTAGCCATCAAGTCTTGACCTCCAATGGCAAATATTAGTTACCTCTGCTTCTGGGAAGCAACTGTTCCAGATAGGGGTCCAACTGCTTTCAGAGGGCTCATCAGCCTGGAAAAATAACCCAAGCATTTAAAAGGGGACAGCTCTGAAACATGGTGATAAAAGCACAAGAGGATGATTTGGTTTCTGCAATACCGAACACTACATCGCAATATAACCAAGAATCACTGAGCACGTTTTGCCACACCAATTCTTATTGGCCTCTAAATGGAAGCAGAAAAAAAAAAACCCATCTAACACTAAGAAGACCCAAGAGGCAGAAAGAATCATGTTTGCATCCCTTCCACTGCATCAGTCACAGTCTGAATGGAGCCCAGGATTCTCGGTGCTCTGCCAGGAATGTGCTCTTATACATTTACCGACTGTTCCAGACTCTCACGGCAACAGATCTCCTTCAGCTGGGGGTCAGAGCTCGCTCTCTGGCTCCGTTCTCTGGGCCTGTCGCTGCCGCTGTAGGTTTTCTTTATGCTGCCACCTACCAAGAGGCAGACAATCACTTAAGAGCTTCACATGCTCCAAGCTAGTGGTCGGCAGAGAAGACGGAGAGGCCAAATCAGCATTCTGTTATTAATTATGAATCTTTCACCTAACTAAACCCCAACACACAGGTCAGTGAGGTATACCACATTCAAATTTACACGCTAGTCCTATTATAACGCTGACATACAGTTTAGATCCACTGTACAGATCGGGACGTGGGACGCTTAAGATAAGATGAACATTCCAATCCTGAGCAACACTCAGCCAGGCTAAATCTGCAAAGGGTAAATCTGACCAGTCATGGTTTATGCACCACGAGTTTGCATAAACAACCGTTCCTTGCTTTTGATTACTATTTCTTTGACAACTTTGCATGAGGGGTGTAAGTGCTACAAAATCAAAAAGCAACTCATTAGATGCAAGAGAGACGTCATGTATCTGCATGTATTTCACATGTCTGCAATAAGGGCTAATCAAATCTTAAGCTTCAGTGGAAAGTTCTGATCCCTTACTTTTATTCAGGATGGTGGGGCTGCTGTCATACCCTCCAAAGGTGTCTGCTCGCCGTGGCAACCCATAGGATCCCTGGGACTCCCCCGAGGGCTGGGAGGCACTTTTAACCCCGGAGGACAAGAGAGCTTGAAGAATCTCCACTGAAAAGCAAAAGCATGTTCGATTTAGAGCTTCAGTCAGGTGACTTAACTGCACAAAAGAATCAAGTCTCTCAGGCGGTTCAACCAATAAAGATGGTAGCTCAGTTGATCGCTATAGCAAGACGGCATTAGTTCATTACTTGCTGGCTGCGACTGACATTCTCCGGGCAGCAGTGCACAACTGGTTGAGACCGACCCGGAGCAGTGCTGGGAATAATCAGCTAGGAATCAGTCGCCCTCTCACCGCCTGCTGCAAAGTCACCTCCTGCAAATGTCTAGGGGTCTGCAGGCATGCAGTGACATCAAGGAGAGATGCACCACTCCTCCAGCTAGCAGCAACTCCCAGCCAGGCGCTGTGGCAAGCGCAGCCGGTGAAATAATGAACATTGGAGGAGCAAGTCTGAGTGACTCATTCTCAGCAGAAAAGGCTGAGGATAAGCCAAGTCCTAAAACCACCACCGTTTCCAGAGCGGGAGTGGGGTATATATTTAAAAACAACCTGCAATTCCAAATTTCAATAACAAACAACAGGGGGGGGG